CCCCCACGCCACCCACCATAAAACTCCGTTTCTCCCACGGGGAGCACCAGGTCCCATCCGGCCCCAGGGATGGAGGAGCCTGGGGAGAGGAGACGGCAGCTACTGCCCCGTTTAGCACGGCCGACTCCCACTCCAGCCCCTACATTAATCCCTCATCCCTACCCGGTCGCCTTTTTCCCCACGAAACATGCGCGAGCCAAGCCTCCGCGAGACCCAATTCCCTGGGCAAAACGGGAAGAAACAGGTCAAGAGGTTCAAAAAAGTCTGGCGAGGATGGAGACATCCGCGGGTCCTTCTAAAAGCACAAGCCCCAGCCTCCCAGAAAATCAAACAGCGCAACAGAAAATCCTGCCTCGGGTATTTTTAAACTGCCTTATTCTAGCAGGTATTTTGTTTTACGAGGGTGTACTTTTTAATTACGCCCAGCGGTGCCCGGACGCTCCAGCCGCCGGAGCCAAAAGCAGCGTGCCGGCTGCCTGCCGCGTCGGGGGGGAGCGGGTGCACCCGGCTCGGGATGGGAACCGCTGCCCAAAAATAGCCGAGGGATTTTCCACCTGCATGGGATCAAAGCTTTGCATGGGGTTTTAACCTCCAGTAAGTGAAAAGCCACCCTAAAAATGACATTAAACCAAGAATTTTGCAAGGGAGAGGGCAGAAAGAAGATCTATGAAGAGAGTCTGTATCTTCCCTTTTCCCTCTGTTCCTTTTGGACAGAAAGAGGTTGGGAAGGGATGAAAAAATGTTTTAAAAAAAAAAAAAAGATTTTTTACACTAACCTCATAAAAATGACATCGTCGCATTCCAGAATCGGAGCTATTAAAACAACACACACACGGATATTTTTAGATGGATATTACCGGTAAATGATGCCATATTGAGCAGCACTTCCACCCAGCCCAGCCCTGGTCTTGCTTAACCAGAACCAAATGGCTCAGAGAGATCAAAATTAACCAAAATGACACAATTCTTCACCGGGGAATTAAAAAAAAAGGTCCCTTTTAGAAGGGGCTCTGCTCCTCCCTCAGCCCCAGCTGCTCTCCCCTTCGCTGCACACGCCAGCGCTTCTGGACTTTATTCCTCGCCTCTTGACTCCTCAATCCTCGCAGGCGAGGGGTTAAACCCATTTCCACTAACGAAGAACACACGGAACAAGCTCCCCAGGACAACCCTACCCCGTGGAAAATAAAATAAAAAGAAAAAAAAAAAGGAAAAAAACCCAAACCCTCCTGCATTTCTGCTCTGTAAAATATGAAATATAAATCAAGGAACCTAATAGAGAGACGAGTTTCACTTAAGTGCTCCGGTCTCATTTTTATCTTAAATACCCTAATAATAGCGGATTACACAATATATTTGAGATGTGATCACATGCTTTATGGAACGGTATCTTTCCTACGGCGGCGAAGTGCCCCTCCTCCCCCCCTCCACACCCTTCGTGAACTACCAAAAAAAGTCCAAATTGCTTCTTTTTTTTAAAATAAAGTCTTCTTTTTGTTTAATAACTTAACATTTCTTTGACATGTGTCTGCAATAAACTGCAGGGGTTGTTTGTTTTTTTTTTTGCATAATAAAAAAATGCCGAACACCACTACCACGGCTGGATTTTCCAGATGGCTCTTTTTCCATGGAATGGCAAGTTGGAAAGAGCTACCGTGCGGCTGCCGGGCTCAGGGACCTTCCGCAGGCTTCCCCAGGACGTCCCTGCTCCCAGCACCTCCACCCCCTGCACCCCGAAGCTCCCCGAGACCCAGCCCCTCTGCACCCTGCGTCTTTAAACCACGG